CTCCATAATACATTTGACAAGTGTCACAATTAATGACTAGATAAACCCAGTGGTTTCCGTTTGTAATTGTTGTGCCGGTTATGGACTTTGCAATGTTCAAGGCGAAATGGACGAACTTAATACCTGGATGGTAGCTCTGAATAAGAAGTGACCCGAACATATCAGGGTCCTTCATAACTTCTGTGAAGACGAAAAAGCGATGACTGTCTGCCTTTCTGTTAAATTTTGTAAAGAAATGTTCAATTAGATCATCGCTCAGCCAACGATCGCAGGAAAGGCGTTTGGCGTCTGCAACTCTAAGGCCACCAAAGATATAATCACTTTCCTCATGACTCCATATTTCTTCAAAATACTTCTCCACGCCCTTCAGTATAACAGTGGCATCTTGATTACTGGCACGTAGTCTATTGTAATAAGACCTTTCCTTTTTTACTTCGAGGGCAACACTGCGAAAATTGTTCAATCGTACTAGTTCCTGGAGTCTTGGGCGATCAAACTTGCCAAGTCCATGTATACGTACAGCTATATTCTCCAATTCTTCACAATCCGATTACCATGTACCTCTGCTAACTTCTTGGCGAGTTTCGAGCGAACATCAGTACACATGCTCAGCGGAGGAATCTCTCTCAGGCTTAAAACATCTGTCAACTCAGCGTGGTTTCTTACTTCTATGAATTCARTGCGTGAAAACATAAACGAACTGATTGAAGGAAGATAGTCCAGTGATATATCTCCACGATTCATTGTAAAGGAGCTTCTTTTTACAGTGTTCAAGAGCTGAATAACTTGATGAATAGACCTGGAAATTTACAGAGGAACTTTTAGTACGGTGATGAATTATCAATCATTCAAAGAGCATTTAAAGAACGATTTTACTCCAGTTCTTTTTAATGTACAATTCCACTTCGGTTACATTAAAACATGATTTTCACCCCTAAAAGGTACTTAAATTCAAAGACTAAGCCTTCACATGTCTTTCATCTACAGCATTTCTAAGAGGAGATTGATATGAATCCTAAACCTATTTCTAATATTCTCGAAACTTACATATTTGCGAATTTTGAAATTTTCTTTAACAGTAGTAATAAAAAAAAGTTCGCAATTTTCTTGATACCGTATTAAATTAATTTAAAATTATATCATATGCTAGTAAAAAAAAGGTCGCAAATTTATCAACTTTCATAGTTTGCGAATTTTCAGGCCGTATCATATTATATACTAGTATAAAAAAAGTTCGCAAATTTATCAACTTTCATAATTTGCGAATTCTGTTACCGTATCATATCATATACTAGTAAAATAAAGTTCGCAAATTTATCAACTTTCATAGTTTGCGAATTCTGATACCGTATCATATCGTATTCTAGTAAAAAATGTTCGCAAATTTATTAACTTTCATAATTTGCGAATTTTCAGGCAAGATTTAGACAACTAATAAAGGTGTCGATGACGCGATATACAAACAAACACACACCGGGACATGTAGGTAAAAGGCTGCAAAAAAGAATACCACTTTAGCTAAGAATAAACTAGGCGATCTTTATAGATGTTTGTTACTTCTTTTTCATGTAACGTTTTTGTTCTTGTCACCCCCTTCCCCATCACTCCTCCGATCAGACCAACATAAACAGGAAAACATTGTATATTCAAATACTCTCCCCAATCGCTGAACTATTATAAATGTTATTATAAATGGACTATTACAACCTGAGCGGAAGTCATCTTCAGAGTCATGTGAAGAATAAAGTCAGATTGGTCATAATTATACTGCCATGATAACAATAGCCTAATTACCTGGATTAGCCGCGTAATTGGCGGCATCGGTCTAATGAGTGCGAGTCGCTGTTTCGGTGTCGTGGGCGGTTTTATTGTTTCTAATAAGCCTATTATACGGAGCCGGTAAGTTAATTGAGCGGTTTAGTGGATGATGCTCAAACATTCACTGGATTCCCAGTCTATCGTATGACCAGTCTTGGTATGACTTGGTATAACTTTCATAATTCTTTTTTTATGCTAGTATATGATATGATACGGTATCAGAATTCGCAAACTATGAAAGTTGATAAATTTGCGAACTTATTTTTACTAGTATATAATATGATACAGCCTGAAAATTCACAAACTATGAAAGTTGATAAATTTGCGAACTTTTTTTTACTAGTATGTAATATGATGCGGCCTGAAAATTCGCAAACTATGAAAGTTGATAAATTTGCGAACTTTTTTTTACTAGTATATGATATAATTTGAAATTATTTTAATACGGTATCAAGAAAATTGCCGAATTTTTTTTTATTAGTACTGTTAAAGAAAATTGCAAAATTCGCAAATTATATGTTACATAAATAGAGATTTCATTCATCCATTAATTCTCTCAATGTTTTCTGGTTATTATTACTTCTAGTTTTATACGTTGTTTTGTTTTTTCTCTTTCCTAACGATAAATACAAAAAGACAACAACAACAACCAAAAAATCAAAAGGAAAATAGGGGTAGGATTCTTAAATGGCATTTCGTTTCAATTGGCCTCACCGGAGTACTGAGGAGCTTTGGTCAGAAAAGTTTACTTTGCATGAGGTCTTTTTAGGTGTGAAGTAATGTCCATCATTCCTTAAGTATAATTAGTGTGTATACAATCGTTCTTTGTAATTAGAGCAGATACACGGCAAGTCATTCCAACATCAACATTTTGTTTGGGGTTTTATTTATGGACCTGATTTCCTACTGCCTTATCCACGCAAAATATCACAAATAGCACTTTCAACAACTTACGACATTAGCGAGTTTGTTTCATAGAAATGAATGTCGTCCTTTATGTGTCGGGCGCCTGTATATCTTGATCAAGTGTGCCTCTCGGCTACAGTAATTGTTTTTTTTCCTAGAATATATATTCAAAAATCGACGTGCTTAGTTCACATTATTTTTAATGTTTTTTCCTTCTAAATACGATAAAGAAATAATTTTCGTTGTATGCTTTCTAATCGTTAACAAAATATGCAAAATCCGAATATTGATTATAATTTTCTGCTAGGATTTGATTTCATTCAGGCTCATCGTAGAGTCGTTTTAGTCTACTTAAGTCACACAGTCGAATGTTTGATAAAACAAAAACAACATGAAACATAAACCTGCTATAGTGTATTCTTAATAAAACAAACTGCTCCAACTTTTTGACTGCAATACCTTGAAGGTGTCGCTAAACGTAACATGAAACTACTTTATGTCAATCAAAGTTTAACTTTTTTGACCAAAGCTCCTCGCTGGTATAACGTGAAMGTATTTTAGGCAATTGGGAATTTAAAACTATCCAAACTATATTGCTATACAAGTGCTTACCTCAGTAWAGTCGTTGACTTGTATAACTGACAAGATATGACACACTGGCGACTGTCCAGATCTCAGATAGCCTTCTCAAAAACTGACCAGACAGACTAGTAAAACCTACTGGACAAGATTGACTTGTAAAACTGAATGACCAGATAGACTCGATTGTTATCTAAAACTTTGACTATGAAGCATGTAGATATGTAGACTCGCGGCGAAACACTATGCTACAATATCCGGATGTTCCGGTAGAGTGCAAATTCGGGGTTGAAATCAGAGTGTATTTGATTGGGGCGGTGTAGCTTTGTAAACTGTGACAAAAGTATCCAAAGTACCGGCATGTAAAGCAGGCCTTATGRCGCCTCCAAATGATTTTTTTTTAAACAAAAAAATTGATAGACTTGGATTGCTTTGCGCTGATTTGCAAAGAGCCCAGGATTACTGATAAATGTATACATATGCATATATATGCAATGCCCCATTACGACCAGGCAACCTTCGACAATATTTCCCCAGCAAAAGGCACTTTATTTTAGCTATTTAGCACCTAGTTTGATAAAAGTACCGACGTCAATCAGGTTTTTCTGAGTTTCATCAGTTCGTGTGAGGGCCCGCTAACTGGTTTCTTTGACAAAATGTCTAAAAAAAACTTATCTGCATCAAATACAATGGTTTCTTTGATATGCRTGGAAAGCGGGAAGCAAATTGGAGTCCTAAAGGAGATCAAAGAAGATGTTCTTCTAGAAAATCTTAGGAAAGAAATCGATGCTGTGATCAATACAACAGACTAATATTTTACAGTCTGTGGCACAAAGCTATCAAAGAAACAAGAAAGAAAAAATTGTTTGCACCAATGCTTATCTCAAAAAGGTGTGCATCTCTACTTGCAGCTTAATTGTGAATCTATTCTAAAGGGGGCTCTTCAAAATTCCCAGAAAGACACCATTTCATTTGTTAATCTAAGTTCATCAAACAATCATACCGATGTTGATCGTACTAGATTCGGGAAGAATTCACAAGACCAAGCAAAACATCCAAGTAAAATCAAACCGTTTACAGAGGAAGAAATAAATCAATGCACAGATCGGCTCTTTGGAAAAGAACGAATGCTTTTCCACAACGAAAGAGCCAAGAAAATACAAAGCAATTCATTCTACGAAGATTGGAGTGTAGCCGAAATATACGGGGTTATAGATGTAGACTGGACTTTAAAAAAGACATCTCTGCTCGAGAATGGCATAAAAGAGCTAATCAGCTCCCGAAACAGCAAAGAGAACACTTCAGAAAAGACCCTGATGAAACTGTAYGATGAACTAGAACAAGCTAAATTTTATGTAAATCATAGTTACAAGAAATTTTGCGAAGATTTAAATGCTCAAGGTGAGGAGAAAAGAACCGAACTAGAACGTGAATTTGACCAAACCTTTTCCAAGCTTAAAGTTGTTCAAGCAAAYGTCGYGAAGTGCATGGAAGAGTTTAAGCGTAAACAGGAAGTCAACGAGAACGACGATTTATCAGAGGTAGAAATGCAGGATAGTTGGGATGTAGATATAAGCGAGGCAGATTTATCGTTTGATGAAACAGATCATTTAGCTCAAACAGTAAAGAATGACTTTRTTGAAGACAACTCAGAATAAATCTAAGAGGGAAACCTAACAGTTACAATTTAACAGTGTTTATTTAGATTAATGTGATTCTCGCACCTATGTGATTGTCAAAACTGGTTATTGTCAAAATAAATTGAAGGATAAAAAAGCTATCCCGACTCAGTCCAAAAAAATGTTTTTGAACACCCGTGTATAATACGCGCCCGTGTATAATACGCACCCTGTATTTAAAAACTCGTTTCTGAAAAAAAATTGTTTTATCATAGCGTCTTTCAAAACTACGCGACCTTGACGAATTCGGAGCCATTTCAAAACATGCGTTTTGACTCCCGTCAATCAAAACTCCAACAATATCGGTTAACTAACTATTTTTAGCTTTTTTAATGTTCTTTCTGGCAGCTTCATTGGCTTTCTTGAGGTCTGACATTAAAAATTTTCTTTTTGCCTCCAATTGTTTCCTAGTATTTACATCATTAACATCCACYAACTCTCTGTCGATCTTTCCAAGTTCCTCAATATTCGCAGCAATTCTGTTTGCATTCCTCTTCATAGTTSAGGACTTTTGATGAGRAGCAGTGSTTTTTAGGTTTACAGCATCATCTATCAAAAGTCCAGACTGATGCTCTCTCCATTTCTTGTTGATGATCTTTCCTATTTCATCTCTGGACTTATGTGTTTCACGGCACAGCTTTCTTCCCATGTCATTCCAAAATACTCTTCTTTTCTTTTCCATTCCTTTTGCTAGATCAATTTCAATATCTGAATAATTTTTCAGTCCTCTCACTTCACAAGAAGACATTTTTCTTAACCCAAACATTGAAGCCTGGCTTGCTTTACTCGTACAAGGTTCTTGTAAATTTGGAGGATCATATTGTTGACTTGTTAGAGGTTCGCCAGGATCAGAGTGTTCACTTACTTGTTAGAGGTTCGCCAGGATCAGAGTGTTCACTTGCTTGCGGTTCAGGATCAGCGATGGAAATCTCTATATGAGTGCTCTGATCAACCGATGAACTTCTTCTTGTGGCTACTGAAGTGAGGCCAGTCTTTGGTTCATCTTGCCTGCTGACTTTTCCCCCGTTCTGACAGATAAACAAAAAAGGGTCTACATCCAAATCATCTTCGATGTCACGGCGGAGCGTCTCCAGAGTATCATTAGTATCTACAGCAGGTAATACTCCAACGACTTGTCTGTTCTTTATAATCTTAATGGCAGCCATCGTTTTGTAAAAAAAAATATTGTTGCTTACAGTGTGTGATCACGCACAGTGTTGCTAGATTGGGAGAAATTTCCGTATATCATCTTCCTTGTCCAATCAGAGCGCTTTGAAATTGACACATGATGTTGACCAGATTGCCTTGTAACACGCCGGCGTCAACATGACGTGAGTACTCAAGTGATGACGTCACAAAAAATACATTTTGACTTTAATTATTTTCGATCTCTAATTTCTATAGACATTCAAAAAAGATGTTTACACACCAAATTTGACGAGAATCGGTCAAATATCAGCTGAGATATGACCGAATGTAGTTTGGAACAGAGCCGAAAATACAGTGATTTGTATGGAGTTCTTTTCAAATATTCTACTCTAATTAACTTGCTAAACAYTAATAAGCTGACTACAGCAAAATAAATGGTAAATACAGGTCGAACAAACGGAAAATAATATTTATAATTTTACATTGCAAAAGATAATGTGGTCTTAAAGAAGCCAAAAATGCAGCACTTCAGGTAAGGTTTACTTCCCCTCCTTACCCCTACTT